CCCCCTCCTTTCCGCTTGTCCACCACCCCTGTGCGTGTAGTGCCGCTGCGGATTAGGGGCAGGGGTTCAGCTTGTAGGGGTAGAGATGGCGAGGGGAGGGGATGGAAGGGGAGTTGTGCCTGGCTTGTGCCAGGCGGCGTAGGCTGGCTCGGGCCGGATACGGAGGTCTCTCATATCCCGACTCTACCCCCAGGAGGGAGTCCCTTCCAGAGTGCTGGAGGTGGATGTGCGTGCTTGCGAAAAGGAAAATGGAAGGGGGGGGGGGGGGGGTACAAGACGAGGACAACGAACGTGTCGTTAAGCCCCCCTCGAGAAAATCGCGCTGTCGGTATCGGGTGAGGACGTTGTGTACTGAAAATCTATCCGGGACTGTGACTTTACTGCAGTAACACACACGCACGCACGCGCCTTGACGCTCTCGTTCTCTCTTTCACACTTACAGACACACACACAAACTCGCTCACTCACTCACACACTCTTTCATATGGGTGGGTGGGTCCCCTCCGGCCCCCTCCGTGGGACAGGGCTCAAGCACACTCCCCTGATCGCTCAGCAGACACTTACCGAGTCAGACTGCGGCGCTGACGCCGAGGGCACGGTCGACGCTTGACCCGAGGCGCCCCCAGCGCCGGGGCCCGGGGACGCGCTGAGCCGCTGGTGGCGGTGCTGGCCGGCGGCGGTGTCCTCGTGCCCACCGGCCAGCGGTGCCGAGGACGTCCCGGCCGCCTGGAGGCCCTCCTTGTCCTGCAGCCCGGGGGCGGCGCCGCCGCCGGGGCCTGGGACCGGGCCGCCGCCGTTGGGGGCGGGGCCGGGGGCGGCCACGTCGAACCTCTGACGCAGCAGCGCCACGGAGGGCCGGCGGTGGTGGTCCTCGTTGCCGTTGTCGTCCTCCTCGTCGTCGCCCGCGCCGTTGTTCATGTTGTGGTTGTTGTTGTTCAGGATGCTGTTGTTGTTGTTGCGGTCGTCTTCGTTGCGGCAGAGCTGCACGAGCAGGTTAGGCCAGGTCAGGGCTTTGCGCGGCACGGCGGGGAGCAAGCAAGGCGGCACCGGGAGGGCCGCCACCATTCGCAAGTTAATTCATGGCGCCATTATTCGAACGGGTGGCGAGGTGAGTTTAGTTAGCCTGCTTGCTTCCACGCCGCTCCGGGTCGCTTCGAGTTAGCGAGCTTGGCCGCATGGCCGCGAGGGTTCACATCAAGTGTCGTGCACAAATCTCGTGATTTTCTATTACATGGTCGTCTTCCGAAATCGCAGGATCGGAAGACGCCGAAGACAGAGGCCATGTCGAAAGTGCCCCGGTTTATGACTTTCAACAAAATAACTGTCAATGGTGTTCACGACGGCGCGCGGTTCAAAAGTAAAGGGTTGCTTTTTTAGAAGCATATGGTAAACTTTTAAAAAATCACGGCTTTGTGTCACAACTCTCTTTTTGTCCCCACATTTGGGATGAGCAAACAGCAGACACACTGCAAGGCAAGGGTTACTGTCGGGAGCTGGCTGCATGGCGTGGCGTGGCGGGGCGTGGGCCAAGCGGGGCCCAGTGAGTCCGACCAAAGCTCGGACCCGGCGGGGATTACGAGCAGCGTCGCGGGTCCGGGCCTAAGTCGGTCGGGCTGTGGTGGGGGAGCCGGCCCGCGTCCAACCCGAGCTTAATCACCCGGGTGGACACCACGGCCAGAGACGCGGACCTGAATCGGATCCTCGTCGCGCCCTCCCCGGGACAGTGGGGCACCCGCCAGCGCCATCCTCCACCACGCCGCACGCCATGCCGCCCTTCAGGCTCTCCCACGACGTCGTGGTACCCACCTCCTTGTCACTCGACGAGCACGTCTTCTCCCCGGTCGAGGCCGAGGAGGCGGCCGGCTTGTCCTCCGAGCCAGGGGCGGGCTTGGGCTTGAGGAACCGGCTGTGGAAGGGCTTCCCGGTGGAGGTCGTCATCGTGGAGGTTGTGGTGGCCGGAGTGGTCCTGCTGCGCGTGTACGTCGACGTAGAGGTGGTGCTCCGCGGTGCAGCCACATCGTCGGAGGTCGCCGTCGACAGGCTAGAGTGCAGCGGAGGACGGCCAAGCTTGCTGGTGCTGGAGGACCCCACGTACGCCGAACCCCGGGCCTCCAGGCGGGACGAGGCTGCCGACGTGGAGGTCGACGAGGAGGTGTCCAGTCCGAGTCGCGTCTTGCTCACAGAACCCTCCCTGGACCGGGCCGCCGCCGACGTGCTGTCCGACAGCGAAGACGAGGACGCCCGTGGCTCGGTGGAGCGCTCCCTGGACGTGGAGTACCGCGACAGCACGTCCTCCGAGTGGCTGCCATGGCGGACCGGCCTCGAGGACAGGGAGCTGGAAGGGAAACGAGAGTTAGTCCTGGTCGCTTGGAGCAGGTCCAAAGTTCCCCAAGGTCCGGCAGCGCAATGCACTCACCTGGAGCTGAGCCGGTCACTCAGGTAGCGGCTCGGGTTGAGGTCGAGCGCCGACGACACGGACGACCGGGAGAGCGTCGAGTACCGCGACGTCGTGCTCGTGTACGAGGAGGTGTACACGGAGGTGCGCGACGACGGCGAGGAGGGCGCGGACGGCCGCCGCGCCGCCACGGACACCGGCATCTTGTACGACCACACAGTGGCCGGCGTGGTCACCCCGGCGGAGCCAAGGGCGTGGACTGCAACAAGGAGACGAGCATGTCAGAGGTCAGAGGTCACGACTTGAGCCCAATCACGGCCCTCCCGTGGCCCGCCCGGCCTGGCGCGGCCTCCTGGCTTCGTTATCTCTCGATTGGGTTCACGCAGGCGAGGATGTAATCTCGGCCTGCGTGACGGATACACACAAACACCGGGTGCTCGGGCAGGTGGGCGCCCCGCCCCGCCCCGCCCCGCCAACCCACCCCGGACGCCTTGTAGTGTGGTCGTGGCGGTGCAGAGGGGGAGAGGGCGCCCTCTCTTGGCCCGGCCCTCCGTGCTGGTCGAAGCGGGCGCGCCGCGCCGCGACGGCGTCATCGAAGGGACGCCGCGTCCAAGA